TTTCTTTTTTTTTTTGGGTAAATTTGCCTTTTTTGTAAGGGTTTTGGAAAAAATTTTTTATATTAAAAATTTTATTTAAAAAAAATATTATTTTTTATATATTTTTTTTATTATTTAAAATTTTAAGAAAAGAAAAGGGGGGGAGGAAATTTTAGGGTTTGGGGAAAGGCTGAGTAGATTGGGAATTTTAATTGTGTGATTCTTGAAGTGGGAAAAATTTGTGGGTTGAAATTGGTGCCGATTTTTAAAAGGGTTTAAAACCCCTTTTTCTTTTTGGTTTGTGTATTATGATTTTTTGTGGAGGGGGTATTTAAAGGGAGGAGTCTGAGGGTTAAATTTGAGATTGGAGAATTTTTTGAAATTTTAAAAGTAGGGTTGGTAGGTAAATTTTTGTTTTGGATTGGAAAGCTTTAGTGGAATAAGGCAACATTGTAATTGTGTGTTGGAATTTTAAAAAATAATTAAGCCCTTTTTCCGTTTTTATTAAATTTTTTTCAAATTTTAAAAAAATTTATAAAGGGGGGGAAGGTTACACTAATTATTTTCTTTTGTGATAATCAGACGGTTCCATGTTGAATTCACTGATAAGCAATAATTAACCTATTTTTTATTAATAACCTGATAATTAGTGCAAGCTGTTACATAATATTTTACATTTAAATCAGTTGTACAATTAAGGTTACTGCCTATAAAACTACGAATCGTGATCGCGGGTTTGAACCCCGCCCGTGGTATGATTTTTTCTTTATATTGTAGTTGATATTACCATTACTGTATGTGCACACAACCCTAATGGTCTGCCACAGTCTGTAGCCAGGAACACTGGGTCGAAATAACGAGTTATGAACGTGTGGATCCCCTTGAGCATAAGATATTATGTGTCATGATACATAAATAACCCGCACATAGAAGAAAGGAGCTTACGACGACGTTTCGGTCCGACTTGGACCAGTGTGACTTTGTAAATGGTCCAAGTCGGACCGAAACGTCGTCGTAAGCTCCTCTCTTTTATGTGCGGGTTATTTGTGTACCGTTCCAGTCACGGTATTGTGTCTTTTTCTGTTATTTACGTGTCATGATATTCACAATTTTAAGAATAGTGCTTGTATATGACAAGACTGTCAGTGTTAACAAGACTGTCAGTGTTAACAAGACTGTCAGTGTTAACAAAACTGTCAGTGTTAACAAGACTGTCAGTGTTAACAAGACTGTCAGTGTTAACAAGACTGTCAGTGTTAACAAGACTGTCAGTGTTAACAAGACTGTCAGTGTTAACAGACTGTCAGTGTTAACAAGACTGTCAGTGTTAACAAAACTGTCAGTGTTAACAAGACTGTCAGTGTTAACAAGACTGTCAGTGTTAACAAGACTGTCAGTGTTAACAAGGACTGTCAGTGTTAACAAGACTGTCAGTGTTAACAAGACTGTCAGTGTTAACAAGACTGTCAGTGTTAACAAGACTGTCAGTGTTAACAAAACTGTCAGTGTTAACAAGACTGTCAGTGTTAACAAGACTGTCAGTGTTAACAAGACTGTCAGTGTTAACAAGACTGTCAGTGTTAACAAGACTGTCAGTGTTAACAAGACTGTCAGTGTTAACAAGACTGTCAGTGTTAACAAGACTGTCAGTGTTAACAAAACTGTCAGTGTTAACAGACTGTCAGTGTTAACAAAACTGTCAGTGTTAACAAGACTGTCAGTGTTAACAAGACTGTCAGTGTTAACAAGACTGTCAGTGTTAACAAGACTGTCAGTGTTAACAAGACTGTCAGTGTTAACAAGACTGTCAGTGTTAACAAGACTGTCAGTGTTAACAAGACTGTCAGTGTTAACAAGACTGTCAGTGTTAACAAGACTGTCAGTGTTAACTGTGGCGAGGGATCAATCAATGACTCGTATAACATGTTCAATGAACATCAAAGTGGTATAAAATACCGACAGGTTGGTAGGTAAGACACAAAGGCAACAGTTAGGCAACTTTATTCCGAAACGTTTCGCCTACACAGTAGGCTTCTTCAGTCGAATACAGAAAGTAGGCAGGAACAGTAGAGATGTGAAGACGATGTAATCAGTCCATCACCCTTGAATTCACCCTCAAATTCTACGACTTCAAGGGTGATGGACTGATTACATCGTCTTCACATCTCTACTGTTCCTGCCTACTTTCTGTATTCGACTGAAGAAGCCTACTGTGTAGGCGAAACGTTTCGGAATAAAGTTGCCTAACTGTTGCCTTTGTGTCTTACCTACCAACCTGTTCAATCATTCTGCGAGTCTCAGATGACAGTAATTTTGACTGACCATCGTCACCTCATCCCAGACAACTGGTTCAAAACTGCAGGAAATTTTATTGGGTTACCAGTAAAATAAACAGACTAAGAGGAAAATTAGTGCATAGATCCTGCGTTAATTTTATAATGTATGTGCAATAACGTATTTTTGTCCTTAATGAGAGGACAGAGTTTAATGGTACTTTGAAGGTTCCAAGATGTCAGCATATGGGTGATCCTCTCCTCTTCTGATCCCTTCAAGGGAGGTTCCTTGATGCTGGTGAGCGGTTCTTGATCTAGGGAATTGGATCTGTGCTCCGGTTCCCTGAATTGAGCCTGAAAACCTTCCATCCCCCCCCCCACGTGCTCTGTATAATCCTACGGATTTAGCGCTCCCCCATTATTATAATTGCAATAACAATCAATCGTCTTCTGAGAGATGTTTCAGTCACCTGTTTATCCACGTCGTACATTTTTTTAAATTGTATCTGGGGGGTTATATATACTTTGGACCTAAATTATTATGACAAATTTCGTATTCTCACCTTCTTTCTTTACTCTTTGTAAGAAATTCTCCAATATAATCACAAATATGAAGCCGAAGTTAATGTCTGACAAACATTCCGAAAGACCTTTATAATTTAAACGAAAATCCTGGACCATATCTGTAATATTTTAACTATCACACTCCCATTATTGTTTACAGAAGTGTAAACACATGCGGTCTTCTGGTCTGAATAAACAGATCAAACGGGCTGTTTCATCTGGCTGGTTCTGTTACAGACTACTTCAGTAACCAGTTCTGAAATATTCCTGGGAAGTGATTGGATTCTAAATTCCCAGTCAACTAATTCCAGCCAATTTGGCTGAAATTAAAATCTTGAAGCACTACATTATTTCACTGATATATATACTGCATATGATTTTGAAAATGAGTTAGATGTAATAAAATCTAGAATAAATTAGCTTCAAAATAACGAGACTCACAGAAATATGTTTATTATGAAGTGAAGCAAATTGATTTATTTTAAATTTCGTCCCTAACAAGTGTCTCTAAGAAGTGTCCCTAACAAGTGTCCCTAAGAAGTGTCCCTAACAAGTGTCCCTAACAAGTGTCCCTAACAAGTGTCTCTAACAAGTGTCTCTAACAAGTGTCCCTAACAAGTGTCCCTAACAAGTGTCTCTAACAAGTGTCCCTAAAGTGTCCCTAACAAGTGTCTCTAACAAGTGTCCCTAACAAGTGTCCCTAACAAGTGTCCCTAACAAGTGTCCCTAACAAGTGTCCTTAACAAGTGTCTCTAACAAGTGTCCCTAACAAGTGTCTCTAACAAGGGGTCCCTAACAAGTGTCTCTAACAAGTGTCCCTAACAAGTGTCTCTAACAAGTGTCCCTAACAAGTGTCCCTAACAAGTGTCCCTAACAAGTGTCCCTAACAAGTGTCCCTAACAAGTGTCTCTAACAAGTGTCCCTAATAAGTGTCTCTAACAAGTGTCCCTAACAAGTGTCTCTAACAAGTGTCCCTAACAAGTGTCTCTAACAAGTGTCCCTAACAAGTGTCCCTAACAAGTGTCCCTAACAAGTGTCCCTAACAAGTGTCTCTAACAAGTGTCCCTAACAAGTGTCTCTAACAAGTGTCCCTAACAAGTGTCTCTAACAAGTGTCCTAACAAGTGTCTCTAACAAGTGCCCCTAACAAGTGTCCCTAACAAGTGTCCCTAACAAGTGTCCCTAACAAGTGTCCCTAACAAGTGTCCCTAACAAATGTCCCTAACAAGTGTCCCTAACAAGTGTCTCTAACAAGTGTCTCTAACAAGTGTCCCTAACAAGTGTCTCTAACAAGTGTCCCTAACAAGTGTCCCTAACAAGTGTCCCTAACAAATGTCCCTAACAAGTGTCCCTAACAAGTGTCTCTAACAAGTGTCTCTAACAAGTGTCCCTAACAAGTGTCTCTAACAAGTGTCCCTAACAAGTGTCCATGTTTTTATTTTCTAGATTCTAGGGGTTTTATTTTACACGTCAGTTTAGCTTTTCTTGTTTTAAAAATTCTCTCCAAACAGGAATTTCGTCTGTTCCTTCAGAATTCCTGTTTTTTAGGCAGAAATTTGTTTTCTCGGACATATAGTGCCTCTCCATCCCTCTTCCAATTATTTATAACGTTAAACAACTTAAACCACATGTAACCAGCATAACTTATTTATCTGTTGTTTATTACAGAAACTACTTATTTAATTCCTGTCAAGAAACTTCTGATCTCTTCTCCCTGTTCATCTCTGCTCTTCCATTATCACTGTTATAATTATCATCATTAATCAGTATTACTAAAAAGTTTAACTCCCTTGATAACCGTTATTTTTTTTCTAAAATAAATAATACTTTTGATAATTTGGCATAAATCTATAATCGTACTGATGGAGTGTGAGCAAGGTAACATTTATGAAGGGATTCAGAGGAAACTAGTTGGTCGGACATGAGTCCTGGAGGTGGGAAGGCACAGTGCATTCTGAAGATGGGGTGGAAATGTTGCGGTTTGGAGGGGCATGTGAACAGTAATGTTAGCGTGCTTCTGACAAGACAGTGATCGAGTGACAGTGAAAGTGTTGTCTCTAAAAATTTCTAGTTTAATCCATACCACGGGGGGGGTTAGAACCCGTCATCAGAGAGTCACAAAACTCTAGTTTAAAGCCCCAAACAAAAAAGACAGCCCCTCCAGCCCCTCTCCCCCTCTCATCACTGGCTTACATCACAGTGGTTCCAGCTTCTGCATTATCTTTCCAGGACTTATTCAACCAACAATCAGCACCAAATCCAGCCAGTAAGTCTTGCCATACATGTATATGAGGAACCGCTAAGTACTAGGGGTAACAGTACCTGGAGAATGGAAGGCAAATATATTTCATTCAAGGAACAGGATAGTATTATATCATTATATCTGCATCACTACAAGTACATGTATCAGGTATACAGGTCTAGCTGACATCAATGACACACCTCTATATAGAAAGCTGTTTGTTAAGCAGAGAAAATTAGGTCAGTTTTGTCCCAGGATGCGACCCACACCAGTCGACTAACACCCAGGTACCCACTTTATTGATGGGTGAACATAGACAACCGGTGTAAGGAAACACGCCCAATGGTTCTACCCTCGCTGGGAATCGAACCCTGATGATCATCGTCTGAAACAAGGGCTTTTGCTACCAGGCCACGTGCCACGGTTAAATTACTTGAATCAAGAGCCTTCTACCGGCATCAAGGAAACCCTTATGAAAAAAACAACACAAATATCGCCTAAACATCTCAAGTAAGAATCACAACATCAACATTCAACATTCATTATAATTGGTTCCTGTTCTTACAATAAACATTAATATGGTACAACGCTAAATAATTTACTTCTCTAATTAACTATTGTTTTCAAATAAACTCAAGTTTGACTTTGGATGAGATATATTGCCAGACTTTAAGCACGGGCATGTTGAGGAAGCTGTCAGCAGGCAGGTGACAGCTACTGTAGGCAGGGACACAACTGTCAGTGTGTGATGTGAAGCCTTGACGAGCAGCTGTCATATAGCGCCACATCAGAGAGTCATCAGTCATTGTCACTGGTCCGTTAACAAGCCTGTGAGGATACAAATGTTATATTTAACAACACTGGTTAATTAACATGTCTGAGAAGTCACCAGTGTTACAGTGGTAACAACACTGGTTCATTAACATGTCTGAGAAGTTACAAGTGTTACAGTGGTAACAACACTGGTTCATTAACATGTCTGAGAAGTTACCAGTGTTACAGTGGTAATAACACTGGTTCATTAACATGTCTGAGAAGTCACCAGTGTTACAGTGGTAATAACACTGGTTCATTAACATGTCTGAGAAGTTACCAGTGTTACAGTGGTAATAACACTGGTTCATTAACATGTCTGAGAAGTTACCAGTGTTACAGTGGTAATAACACTGGTTCATTAACATGTCTGAGAAGTCACCAGTGTTACAGTGGTAACAACACTGGTTAATTAACATGTCTGAGAAGTCACCAGTGTTACAGTGGTAACAACACTGGTTCATTAACATGTCTGAGAAGTTACCAGTGTTACAGTGGTAATAACACTGGTTCATTAACATGTCTGAGAAGTTACCAGTGTTACAGTGGTAATAACACTGGTTCATTAACATGTCTGAGAAGTTACCAGTGTTACAGTGGTAACAATACTGGTTCATTAACAAGCCTGAGAAGTCACCAGTGTTACAGTGGTAACAACACTGATTCATTAACAAACCTGAGAAGTCACCAGTGTTACAGTGGTAACAACACTGGTTCATTAAAAAGCCTTTGAGAAGTGTTTTTACCGCATAATATGCAAATTTTATTGCAAAAAATATGCAAATTCGTCCGAGGGAAGAATTTGCTATAATTACTTACTCATTTTTGTAACTTTACAACACGAAAGACCTAGAGCTATCATTCAACTCCCCGCGTGGTTGTTTTGCATATTGTGTTGCTTGTCCGCGATTCTTGCATAATATATATATATATATATATATATATATATATATATATATATTATATAAAATATATATATATATATATATATATATATATATATTATATATATATACATAATCTCAATAACAAACACTGCGACTAGCCGAGGACTCGAACTCATGTCGTTTTGACCCACCTCAAGGTGAACGAAATCACATGACGCTGTAACCGACAGAACCTGTAGATTAGAGCATCTTATGATTTTCGCTCACCATGAGGCGGGCCAAAACGTCATGGGTCTGAGTCCTCGGCTAGTCACAGTGTTATTGATTAAATACCACTCGTTCGTGGTTACAATAATATATACATATTTTTTTTTCAACAAGTTGGCCGTCTCCCACCGAGGCAGGGTGACCCAAAAAGAAAGAAAATCCCCAAAAAGAAAATACTATCATCATTCAACACTTTCCCCTCACTCATACATAATCACTGTCGTTGCAGAGGCGCTCAGATACGACAACCACCCAGGTTGGTACTACCGTCCTGCCAGGTGACTGTGAAACACAAACCTGTAACTGTTTTACATGATGGTAGGATTGCTGGTGTCTTTTTTCTGTCTCATAAACACGCTAGATAACAGGGATATCTTGCTACTTCTACTTACACTTAGGTCACACTACATAGGCAAGCACACACTTACACACATCTAGGGTTTTTCTTCTTTTTTTTAATAGCTCTTGTTCTTGTTTTTTTTCTCTATTGTCCTTGGGGAAGTGGAAAAGAATCTCTCCTTTGTAAGCCATGTGTGTTGTATGAGGCGACTAAAATGCCGGGAGCGATGGATTAGTTACCCCTTCTCCTGTACACATTTACTAAAAATCAGAAGAAGAAAAACTTTATAAAACTGGGATGCTTGAATGTGCGTGGATGTACTGCAGATGATAAGAAAGAGATGATTGCTGATGTTATGAATGAAAAGAAGTTGGATGTCCTGGCCCAAGCGAAACAAAGCTGAGAGAGTTAGAGCTAAGGAAGGGGTAGCAATAATGTTGAAGGACCAGTTATGGAAGGAGAAGATGGAATATAAATGTGTAAATTCAAGGATTATGTGGATTAAAATAAGGGCCGGATGTGAAAAGTGGGTATTAATACGTGTATGCACCTGGAGAAGAAAGGAGTGTAGAGGAGAGAGAGAGAGGTTTTGGGAGATGTTAAGCGAATATATAGGAACCTTTGAACCAAGTGAGAGAGTAATTGTGGTAGGGGACCTAAAGGCTAAAGTGGGAGAAAATTTTAGAGAGGGTGTGGTAGGTAAGTTTGGGGGGCCAGGTGTAAATGATAATGGGAGCCCTTTGATTGAACTTTGTATAGAAAGGGGTTTAGTTATAAGTAATACATATTTTAAGAAAAAGAGGATAAATAAATATACAAGATATGTAGGGCATAATGACAGTAGTTTGTTGGACTATGTATTCGTAGATAAAAGACTGTTGATTAGACTTCAGGATGTACATGTTTATAGAGGTGCCACAGATATATCAGATCACTTTCTAGTTGTAGCTACAGTGAGAGTGAAAGGTAGATGGGATACAAGGAATATAGAAGAAAGTAAGAGAGAGGTGGAGGTGCATAAACTAAAAGAGGAGGCAGTTAGGGTAAGATATAAACAACTATTGGAGAATAGATGGACAAGTGAGAGTACAGGCAATGGGGTCGAAAATGTATGGGGTAGGTTTAAGAATGTAGTGTTAGAGTGTTCAGCAGAAGTTTGTGGTGACAGGAAAGTGGGTGCGGGAGGGAAGAAGAGCGAGTGGTGGAATAATGTAAAGAGAGTAGTAAGGGAGAAAAGGTTAGCATATGAGAGGTTTTTACAAAGTAGAAGTGATACAAGGAGGGAAGAGTACATGTAGAGAAAAAGAGAGGTTAAGAGAGTTGTGAAGCAATGTAAAAAGAGAGCAAATGAGAGAGTGGGTGAGATGTTATCAACAAATTTTATTGAAAATGATAAAAAGTTTTGGAGAGAGATTAATAAGTTGAGGAAGCTTATGGAACAAATGGATTTGTCAGTTGAAAATAGGAGAGGAGAGTTATTAAATGGAGAGTTAGAGGTATCGGGAAGATGGAGGGAATATTTTGAGGAATTGTTAAATGTTTATGAAGATAGGGAAGCTGTGATTTCGTGTATAGGGCAAAGGGGAATAACATCTTGTAGGAGTGAGGAAGACCCAGTAGTGAGTGTGGGGGAAGTTCATGAGGCAGTGGATAGAATGAAAGGGGTTAAGGCAGCTGGGATTGATGGGATAAGGAGGGAATATAGTTTTGGAGTGGTTGGTGCTATAATTTAATAAATGTATGGAAGAGGGTAAGGTACCTAGGGATTGGCAGAGAGCATGCATAGTTCCTTTGTATAAAGGCAAAGGAGATAAAAGAGAGTGAAAAATTATAGGGGAATAAGTCTGTTGAGTATAACTGGTTAAGTGTATGGTAGAGTTATTATTGAAAGAATTAAGAGTAAGACGGAGAAGGATAGCAGATGAACAAGGAGGCTTTAGGAAAGGTAGGGGGTGTGTGGACCAAGTGTTTACAGGTGAACAGTATTTAGATAAGGCTAAAGAGGTTTTTGTGGCATTTATGGATTTAGAAAATGCAAATGACAGGGTGGATAGGGGGGCAATGTGGCAGATGTTGCAGGTGTATGGTGTTGGAGGTACGTTACTGAAAGCAGTGAAGAGTTTTTACGAGGTTGTTCAATATATTTATAGATGGGGTTGTAAGAGAAGTGAATGCTAGGGTCTTGGCAAGAGGTGTGGAGTTAAAAGATAAAAAATCAAACACAAAGTGGGAGTTGTCACAGTTGCTCTTTTCTGATGACGCTGTGCTTTTGGGATATTTCGAAGAGAAGTTGCAGAGGTTGGTGGATGAATTTGGTAGGGTATGTAAAAGAAGAAAATTAAAAGTGAATATAGGAAAAAGTAAGGTTATGAGGATAACAAAAAGATTAGGTGACGAAAGACTGGATATCAGATTGGAGGGAGAGAGTATGGAGGAGGTGAATGTATTCAGATATTTAGGAGTGGACGTGTCAGCAGATGGGTCTATGAAGGATGAGGTGAACTATAGAATTGATGAGGGGGAAACAGTGGAGACAAAGAATTTTGTCAGTGGAATCAAAAAGGAAAATGTATGAGAGTATAGTTGAACCAACACTCTTGTATGGGTGTGAAGCATGGGTGATGAATGTTGCAGCGAGGAGAAGGCTGGAGGCAGTGGAGATTTCATGTTTGAGGGCAATGTGTGGTGCGAATATAATGTAGGGAATTCGTAGTTCGGAAATTAGGAGGTGTGGGATTACCAAAACTATTATCCTGAGGGCTGAGGAAGGGTTGTTGAGGTGGTTCGGACATGTAGAGAGAATGGAACAAAACAGAATGACTTCGAGAGTGTATAAATCTATAGTGGAGGGAAGGCAGGCTAGGGGTTAGCCTAGGAAGGGTTGGAGGAAGGGGGTAAAGGAGGTTTTGTGTGCGAGGGGCTTGGACTTCCAGCAAGCGTGCATGAGTGTATTTGATAGGAGTGAATGGAGACAAATTATTTTTAAAGATTGACGTGCTGTTGGAGTGTGAGCAAAGTAACATTTATGAAGGGATTCAGGGAAACCGGCAGGCTGGACTTGAGTCCTGGAGATGGGAAGTACAGTGTCTGTACTCTGAAGGAGGGGTGTTAATGTTGCAGTTTTATAACTGTAGTGCAAAGCACCCTTCTGGCAAGACAGTGATGGAGTGAATGATGAAGGTTTTTCTTTTTCGCGCCACCCTGCCTTGGTGGGAATCGGCCGATGTGTTAATAAATTTATATATATATATATATATATATATATATATATATATATATATATATATATAATATATATATTATATATATATATATATATGTGTGTGTGCATGTGTGTGTGCATGTGCGTGTGTGTGTGTGTGTGTGTGTGTGTGTGTGTGTGTGTGCGTGTGCGTGTGCGTGTGTGTGTGTGTGTGTGTGTGTGTGTGTGTGTGTGTGTGTGTGTGTCGTGCCGTATATGTAAAACTGGTCAATTAGCAAGAACTCGTTTAAAATTAAGTCCTTTCTGAAATTTTCTTTTA